GGCATGTAGCACAGACTTTCAGGGAGACAGTGTAAAATGCAGTGTAAAATGGCACCTGAAGGAATTTCACTCTCACAGTGTGGCTGGACGTGGGACTAACTTAAGCAGAAACAAACATGAAATGCAACCAGCATCTGCAGATGATCGACAAGGGTTCAAGCTCAAACTTGGTTTGCTTTTCTCCCTGGAAGGTACCTAGATCTAAGGCACTTCAGACAGCGCAAAGTCCTTGCATTTGCCCCTTCTGAGCAGCACAGATTTCACCCTCATGAAGGATTCTTACTGCTGGAAACTCTCTAGAGTCACGCTCCACCCTCAGAAAAACTAATCAATGGACAAAGGTTTAAAAGACTTTTAAAGGAAATCAGAGGTCCCAATACAATTTTGGAGCCATTCAGTCCTCTATCTCTTCTGTCCACTCTATGGCAATATTTCTTTAACTAGATTTACTGCCTGCCTGCCAGCTGCTTAATGCTGTAGCCTGCATTTGCCACTTAGCAAGAGGGGCATATTCAGCCTGAATGGTTGCATTTTCCAACACACTTATATCAGCCGGTACTACAAGCCCCAGGGAGCAGACAACAACCCAGTTTGTACAGAAATTATCAACGTGACTTCTGAGCAGCCAGGTAGGCTGTGGCCACGCTCAGTCGCAAATAAAAGGAGTTTTCCAGGGAGACTGCTCTTGCCCCAACACCCGTTGCTGGATGATGCTCAGCTCACCCCGCACAGCTCTCAGAGTTTCTGACCACTTTCACAACTAACTGGGGGGTGGGGTAAAAAAAAAAAAAAAGGAGAAAATCAATAGTCAGCTTTTCTGTCCAGATCTCTCTTCTGATTTCTGGAGGAGACCTTCAGTTCAGTTATCTAAGAGATGGCCAGTGTTTAAAATATGAAGGGCAATCTTGACAGGAGGAGGGGAACAGTTGCCCAGCACCTCCCCTCCCACTCTTGCTGGCATGGAATTTGTCACGAACAATAAGCCCCTGCATGCGAAGCTGCTTAAAAGAGACAGGAGGTAGCACAGAGACAAGGGAAAGGGTACCCCAGTGCCTGTCATTCTGCATGAGGAGGGCAATTAGCCACTCTTAACCCCTTCAGCTCAGCTGGTTCAATTCGCTGTTGTGCAAAACTTCTGATATCAAAGCCCCTGTTCACAAGTGTCTCCGAAGGGTACTGGAAATTCCACAGCAGCTTGCAGCCTACAGCTAAAAACATCAGTTTGCTTACCAGGGAAAATTGCTGTGCATTGCTTTGCAGGACTGTTTATTGAAGAACTAGCTCTCGTGCACTTCAAATCAAGGCTGCAACAGAAGGGAATTTGTCTGGAAAACTATCTAGCAAACTCTATCTACAACAAAGCTGTTCAAAAGGTCTTACATTTTTCATAAGGAGAAGGGAGAAAGAATCAAAGTTCATTTCCTCTTGGCTATAGAGACAAACACCTCTTTTGGTGAAAAGAGTCAAAATGAATGCGTGACAGCGTCAGACGCAGGTATCAGATACATATACACAGCTTTAAAGACTTTGTATCATGTCCTTTTCTCTAAACATTTGTAAGATCAAAGCCAAACATTCTGGAGAATTCCTAAAAAGCAGACAATGAATCAAATGTGCTTCCACATCCTCAAAAGGTGAAGTTTTTCCCATCAAATACAGACACTCAGAGCAAAGCCGTTCAGTGCCTAACAAAGATACCCCACCCAGGCCCTTCTCGCAGGCTGCAGAAGTCCACAGCTTGGAAATCCCCCCCAGCCACAGCGATGACCAAACTGCGGGTGTACGCACAAGCGTGCCCCAGTGACGCAGGGGGTTGGGCCACCCCTCACTGCTGGTGCACCCCGATCCAGACTCACCCCGTCGGAGCAGCTCCACGAACCCTCTGCAGGGAAAGCCCCTGGGTCAGCACGGACGGCCTCGCTGTCACCACGTCTGACGTACTTCACGCAGACGCGTCAGCCCAGCACCATCCACCATGCAACGACTTCCACACTGTAGCCACCATTCTGTGCTTCAAGCCCAGCTCCCAGTCCAGTGCCAAGAGCCAATGCTTCATCCACGCTTCCAGCACCAAGAGCTGCCCTAAGAGCCAGCATCCTTGCAGCTCACACCACATCACACATCGTGTGGGCAAAGCAAAAGACCCCTTGTTGTCTCAGGGAATAAAAGCAGCAAATGCAAGGTCTCCTGGGTCAGGAAGCTCCAGAGCAGACTCAGCAAACACATTTTACATGTTAGAGCCAGTCCAGGACTCAGCAAAGCCACTACTCTAGGTAGAGCTGTGCTGATCCTACAGCTACAATTCGGTGGATGTAAATTTACAGCAAGAACTTTGAGTGTACGAGAACAAGGAAAGCCCTAGGTCACATTTTAATTTACTATTGCTCTTGGACACTGGGAGGAATTAATCTGTGACAAGGACTCCAGAAATTATGGGGAAAGAGCATCAGCAAGGCCGTGATGCACACACACTGACGGAGCACAGCATTCAGCGGCACCATGCGCACCCAGCACTCTGAAAAGGTTGTCAGAGGTAAATTAAAAGGTGCGCACGACCTTTGGTGGACGCCAATATTTCAGTTAGCTCTGCATCAAGCACTTGCAACTTGTGCCTCCCCAGAAAGACAGCATGAAGCTTGGGAAGGGTCTCGGTGCCTCCGGCTTCCTGCAGAATCCCAGCTACAGCATTCAGCGGCACCATGCGCACCCAGCACTCTGAAAAGGTTGTCAGAGGTAAATTAAAAGGTGCGCACGACCTTTGGTGGACGCCAATATTTCAGTTAGCTCTGCATCAAGCACTTGCAACTTGTGCCTCCCCAGAAAGACAGCATGAAGCTTGGGAAGGGTCTCGGTGCCTCCGGCTTCCTGCAGAATCCCAGCTGCGGGCACAAAGAGGCAAAACCAAACCACC